TCCCTACTGTATTTCCCATCCTGTTTATGATGGGAGAGTGAGGTATGCTGTAGTTGTGTTCATATGGTAAAATGGTTAAAATCCACTGAATTAACATGAAATAAAAGATTCCATTTATTGTATTAAAATAAGTTAGAGAGCTAATAAATGTTTACTGAATAATTACCATGTAACAGGTTCATATCTAGTTATTATGGGAATAGACAGATAAGTACAGCAGAGCCCTTACTCTTCTGAGGAACAATAATAAAAACACTTAATAAGAGGTAAATTAAATGTTATGAGAGCATGCAGGAAAATGAAGTAGGTTCTGGATAGGGAAAGGAATAGACAGATAAAACAAGAAAACTTTACAAAGATAAAGGAAAAAGTTAAAAAGAAAAAGCATTTGAAATAGGTCTCAGAAAAAAAAAGGATTTCTAAAATGACAGGCAAAAGTGTACAATCAATCAAATATTTTACTTTACAACCGCCTTTACTCTCAATTCTTCTAGTTAAACTATGGACAACAGAAGGAATACTTTAATGTATGGCTCCATAATAAAGACCTTAAAATTATTTAGTTTTAAAGAAATAACAACAAAATGATTAATAGAATGAATAAAAACTATCTAATAAAATGGGTGTTACCAGAACTACTGTTTCAATTTTAGTTAGAAACACAACCACAAAAACACATGCACAAAAACATTCAGCTTACATTTGGACATCTTAAAATCTGTTTAAGTCTAGTGCTTAAGGCTACAATGGAAGGGAAAAATAATGAAAAATTAAATTTACTGGTCACATTCTGGACTCAAGTAATAGTTAGGATCAACTAGCCAGCTACCAGTCAAAACTAAGCTCTTAAGAGCTTGATTTTAAATGTATGTATGTTTAGGAATAAAGAGAATGCTGGAAGCTATTTAATTTTTCAGAAAACGTGATTTTCCTAGATTCAAAACAAATGACCTACTGGCAAAAGTAATCATTCAGGAAACTAAATTCTGTGACAAATACAGCCATTTCATTTAATAAAGTACAGAAATAGTTTTTTAATAATCTTACAGAATCTATAAAAACAGAGCCTTAAAATACACTCAGATTACTCAGAATCTTCTTTCAATAAATATTTTTCAGATTCACTAAGCATTCCCCTACAATGAATATTCACTGAGTCAATATACTTCCAAAAATTACTGTCTGGTAGATCTTTTTATGCATAATCAAAATGTTTACTTTTATTTTAATTATATGATAATAATGAGAAATCAGAAATCTATTTACATACCACCATGCAACTCTACACTACCTATTCATTTTGTGATTTTGTGTGAATATATACCACAAACAATGGATTTATTCATGAAAACTGATATTCAAGTCAAATTATACTTTAAATGTGGTCAATTATTGTCATATGTGGCAGTTATGTTCTATAAAGTCATCATAAACACTGAATTAGCAGATACTAAATCAACGCTACTAGGGGAAACAGGGTTAGGTTCCTAGGAGCCTCTGGTCACAACATTTTCATCAACTGATCAATATATAACTTTGTTTTATGTGTGTTTCTGTTTACAAACACCTTATTTAATGCATACTGCTGATTCATTAACATTGAACTCATGGCCAACAATATTGTAACTCATGCCTAAGCAAAGCTTACCTAACATGCATCTTTCACATAAGGCACATCACAGCCTTCTTGCACTTAGGAACACCAGACAACACTTCGGCACTACACTTGGGAACCATTTTAAGCAAGATCACCAGAAAAAAAAAAAAGTAGCACTAAATAGGCCACAAAGAGGACACTTGTTGGGGCCGGCCCGGTGGTGCACTGTACAGTGCACC